CCGCGCTGAGTGACTCGACGCCCCGGAAGCATCACCTCGTCCAGGGACCAGGCCGGGCCGGTCTCAGCCGCGCAGGTCTGACCCCTCCCATGTCCGTCCTCGGGTCCGACGCGCAGACTTTCCAAGGTTCTGTGAGCCGGGACCTCGTCTCTGGGCTCGGGGTTGGCCCGAGGCTGGTCTTCCTCGCCCTTTCTGTGGTCTCGTCGCCGTCCTTCCATTCCTACCTCCTCTCCATGACGATCTCATGACATGGGGTGGAAGTGGTTTTCCAAAGGACATGTCATTGTCATCTTAAATAGAGAATTTTCAAAACACAAAGCATCGGAAACTTCCCTCATTTCCACTCTTATCCAATAAGTGAACAAATGTGGAACCCCTCCCCACCTCTAGGAAATGGCGGCGACCCCGTGTCCACAGACGGGCATCTCTCCCCGCCTCTCAGGGTTCGGGTATTCGGCGCCTCCATCGTTCAGCGTGTTTAGTACTGAAGCTTTCAACACTCGCAGCGTCTCATGTTATTTAAGTGTTTTACATCCATGTGTTTTATGTCATTTCTCTTCAACTCTTTTCAAATTTCTTGCAAACTCAAACGCTTTTCTTCAATTCTTTATAGCCATACATCAGAATCCAGGTTCCCAGGTGCACCTCATAGTAACCAAGTCAGCATCCCTGAGCCCTGGAGCCGGGCCCAGGAATCTGTTCTGACAGAGTTCCCACGTGACAATCAGGCCGCGAGCCCAGCTCTAAACGCAGGCTTCTCTGGGAACCACTGTGCTACTGCTCCTAGCCCAATGCTTTGGGGGTGTTAACATCCTACATAATAAAACCCTAATGTGCAAATCGACGGAACGGCAGAAGGACTGGTCGCTATGGCTCTCACTGACTACCAGGGGGCAGCTCAGCCTGCAGGCCCCGACTGGAGGTGGGGGGCGAGCGAGGGCCCTGATTGCCCCACCGGTCCCCCCACAGATTGGCCCTGATTGCCCCCCAGACCTAGGGACCCTACCGGTGCACAAATTTCGTGCACCGTGCCTCTAGTTAATAAAGTGCTTGTCAGCGGGACAGTCAGGAGCTACATTGATGGAATGTTCAGTGGACAGACCTGAAACACTGATGTTTGCATTTAACTATTGTGCTCTCCAGGCTGCACCTCTGATTTCCTGTCATTACGGTTTTCAGTTCAGAAACCAGACGGACCATGCCCACGTGCTCACAGGTCTTGAGGAAGTGATATTCAATCACTAGACTCACAGAAGACAGATACGAAAGTTATGTTGCTGGCTTTTATTTTATTGGTGAGATGATTGAACTTAATGTCCAAGACCTGGACAGACTGTGAAACTAGGAAGGCAGACAGTCCCTGATGGGAGGTCATTCTTCCCACGAGCTGTTACTGGCTGCCCAGTGCCTAACGGAGAAAGTCTGTTCCAGGCACCTGACATCGGAGGCTTCCAGGGCAGGGCCTGTGCTCCTGTCATGTCCTTGGACAAACCTATCGAACTTGCTTTCCCAGCTCTGTGTCCCTGCTGTTAACCACTTGGTCAGCCTCTCCATTGCTTGTCATTTCCTGTCTCTCCCACATCCCCTTCAAGTCCCCTCCATTCTTCAGAAGTTAGCTTTCAGTGGCTTTCCCTGACCGTTGCTGACTCCTGTGCCCTCTCGCACCCCCAGAGCCCCCTCTGCCACTGGGCGTCAGTGAGGCCATGTCACTGGAGGGCAGGGACAGGGACTCTCTTCTCAAACGGCCCCAATAGCTGCAGGTGGTCCGTTGTCACCCAGTGAGAAGTACAGAGCATTTTCCTATGTGGAATTGGCCATTTAAAAGCAATTTTCTGAATCTCTTCTATTATTGTCTGTATAACTTAGAAATAATTTTTTAAAAAATATATCTTTATTGATCTCAGAGAGGGAGTGAGAGGTAGAAACATCAATGATGAGAGAAAATCATTGATTGGCTGCCTCCTGCACACCCCCTACTGGGGATTGAGCCCACAATCTGGGCATATGCCCTTGGCCAGAATCAAACCTGGGACCCTTCAGTCCGCAGGCTGACGCTCTATCCACTGAGCCAAGCTGGCTAGGGCACATAGAAATAATTTAATTGCATGTGGCATGTTAACATTCAGTCTTGTGTTGTATTTATATTTAAATGCTTCTCATTTAAATTACCTTGGTGGTGGTGTGTTTTTTTTATGAGTTTACTTGAGGCAAACTTACGGCATATGCCAGGAGCAGGATTTCAAATGCTCCCTAAATGATCTTGCTTATAAGTTTGGATGTTAAACTGTGTTGAGGTAGGAATTATGTAGCAGTTGTATTCCCAACGCAGGCGTTTCAGTATTTTCACAGAGTAAACGCCCAGTACCTCTTTGTGTAATAGAAAATGACTAGTTCCATAATGTGGTCTTTCTAGACAATAATAGTAACTCTTTTTTACTCTCCAGGAGAGCTCTTGAAACTAAAAGACCCTTCACAAGGCAGAAGTGGGTTTTGTGATCATTCATTCTATCCCAAGATGATGACAGAATCCAAGAAAGCTGCAGCTCAGAATCCTCAGGAGGATGAAGGGCCCCTGAGAGTGAAGGTGGAGGAGGAAGATTTTGTCTGGGGGCAGGACGCTGGCTCGGGGAGAAGTGATTTTCTCAAGCAGGAGCTGTGCCGGCAACTGTTCAGGCATTTCAGCTACCACGATGCACCTGGGCCCCGCCAGGCACTGCACCGGCTCCGTGAGCTCTGCGGGCTGTGGCTGCAGCCCGAGACGCACAGCAAGGAGCAGATGCTGGAGCTGCTGGTGCTGGAGCAGCTTCTGAGCATCCTGCCTGCGGAGCTGCAGGCCCTGGTGCGAGAGCAGTGCCCGCGCAGCGGGGAGGAGGTGGTGACAGTGCTGGAAGACGAGAGAGGCAGCGGTGAGACAGCGCTCCAGGTACAGAGACGATGGGCGAGCTAAGGGCTCCAGAACGGATGGCGTCCCACAGTGGGAGAGCTGAGCTCCTAGTTCAGGATGCATTTATGTCTCCTTTGCTCTCTGTTTGGTATATGTCATATCTCACCGCTGAGTCAGACTTGATTCTTCCTTCCCCAGTTTTGTGTTCCTACATGAGGTTTTCTTTGTTTGGGGAGATGTTTAATTCTAACAGGGACTCTCTCCTAAGTCCAGATGTACTTTGTTCTTCTCAGGTTCCAGTCCCTGGACATGGACAGGAAATATTCAGGAGAAAGGTTCCATCTCCTGGACCAGCATTTACTGACCAGCTCCAGCCAGTGGACACCAAGGACCTTCAGGCTTCTTCAGAACCCTGTCTCCCACTGAACTTCGGTAAAGTTGTGTCCGTAGACGGAGGGACAGGGGCTCTCCCTTCTTAGACTGTCCCATTAGCTGTAGGTGGTCCTTTTCTTTGCCAACCAGAAGTGGATGGATGGATGGATGGACGGACGGACGGATGCTTTCAGCTTTGCGTACGCACACTCCGGAGTCATTTATAACTTTACTTATCTCACGCATCTGCATCCTCATCTGCTTTCTTGGAAGATGGTGCCTCCCCTTTTTCCTCTAAGCCTAACCATAGACGTGTATCCTAGATCCAGAGTCCCCCTGGGTCCCTCAGTCACACTCGGAGTTCTTTGTTCCTACTTTGTCTTCCCCTCCTGTTCGTGCTGGCGAAGCTCCTCTTCCCAGGCTTTTCTGTTTCATCTGCTCCTCCTGATGGGTGTCTCCTCTCTCTGCCAACCACTGCACACAGGACCGGCTTGTACTGAGTTGTTCTTCTGTGTGGTTCATGCCTCTCTTTTGAAAGGCCATGTTTTTGGAATGGCCAAATGAGGTACCAATTTGTAACTATCTTGGGTGTATCTGAACAATTTATTTTCTTCCAGCTCAGCAAATCTCTTCTGTCATTATTGTCATTTTAGATCATGAGAGTGAAAACAACGTGTCTCTGTCAAGTCTTGACGTTCATGGAAACACAGGCTCACAGAGAATTGTATCAGGACGACCTTCGACGTTTGCATCAGAGGAGTCTGCTGCGCCTTGGGACATCTCCAAGTCTGCGGGCCAGATAGAGCAGCAACAGGAAAACGAGCCTGGGGGGTCTCGGAGACCATCGTCTGCTCAGGACGGAGGTTTTAGCAAAATCCTCACCCACAAAAATACACTTTCAGATGAAATAATAAGTAACAATGGATGTGACAGACGTGTAAACCTGAACCCAAATGAATTTACACACCACAGATCTTGTAAACACAGTACCTATGACCAAAGTCTCCAGTGGAATTCGGGTTTTATTATGCATCAAAGAATTTATGTTGGAGAAAAAACTCCCCAACGTGGAAAATCTCTCAAGCACTCAAACCTTATTAAACAGACAGCAGTTTTCAGCGGAGAGAAAACCCATCAATGTAGTGAGTGTGGGAAAGCTTTCAGGCACAGCTCAAAGCTTACCAGACACCAGAAAACCCACACTGGAGAGAGACCCTATGAGTGCAACGAGTGTGGCAAAGGCTTTGGGGGGAGATCAGATCTCATTAGACACCAGAGAGTCCACTCTGGGGAGAGACCCTTTGAATGCAAAGAATGTGGAAGAGCCTTCAGCCTGAACTCACACCTCATCCTGCATCAGAGAATCCACACCAGAGAGAAACCCTATGTGTGCAGTGAATGTGGGAAAACCTTCAGGGTGAGCTCACACCTCATTCGACACCTGAGAGTCCACACTGGAGAGAAACCCTATGCGTGCAGCGAGTGTGGGAGAGCCTTCAGTCAGAGCTCGCACCTCAGCCAACATCGGAGAATTCACAAGAGGGAAAGCCTGTTAATGTGAGGGACTGAAGTTCATAGGGAATGCTAAGGAAATAGCAAAATGTGGGAAACATTGAATACAGAGTAAATCCTGGGTGGGGTGAGTGACTGACAGCAGCATCTCTTTCCTCCCTCTGGTGCTCTAGTGTGCGGTCCTGCCTGTGGTCTGGCCTCTCTGCTTTCTGAAAGGCTAGGCTGCCAGACCAGACGAGCAGAGTTGGGGGAGGCAAATAAATAGGTTAGTCCAGCGGTGGGGAGAGGACAAAAAAGGACCTTCTTACGAAATAACCCTGATCACAGTGTGGGGGGGCTCGGGGAGAGAGTCATCCTCAGCCCCGCGTCGTGGTTCTGCACACCAAGGCTGCTCTGCAGCCGAGGACAGAGCTGGAGGGTTGTGTGAAAGGGGACTAGGCAGTGGTGGCCCTCCGACAAGTAGGGTGTAATCTGCATCGAGGTCCTGCCAGGAAGTACACCCAAGGCAAGAGGCTGGAGTCAGAGATTCCAACAGGAAGGAGGGGTGTGGAAGGAAATGAGGCAAGAGGTGGGATCAGAGGTGAGCAATGTGTTCACGTGGGAGGGAACCTAGATCCGGAGGCGACAGCTGCAGTCCTGTAACGGGAACCTTCCTGCCACGTGTGCTTTGTTTGTGGACACCTTCCTGGGCTGAGTGGACAGAGACTGCAGTTCTGGGGGCCTCTCGACTGGCCACTGACAAGTGAGGAGGGCAGAGGGAGTTGGTACCAAAAGCAAAGCTTCTGCAACTTTAAACCAGCACAGAAATGCATCTATTCTAAATTCCTTGCCCGTGTTCCCATTTATCCTGTAATACCCTGGTGAATAGTAGGGTGGTTATTACCCTTATTTCATTGAAGAAAATTTTGAGTTAAAAGGAATTCGGTAACTTGTCAACAGTTACAAGATTATGAGGTGAAAAGAAGGATTCAGCTGCTCATCTAGAGACGCGGTTAAGCCATTACCCCAAGGCATCTGGCCTGCTGCAGAGAAGTTTTATGACTGTTTGTATAAAGTAGGGGTCCTCAAACTTTTTAAACAGGGGGCCAGTTCACTGTCCCTCAGACCGTTGGAGGGCCGGACTATAGTTTAAAAAAAAGACTATGAACAAATTCAGCAACAGGCAGCGGCGGCAAAAACACCCAGCGGGCCGGATAAATGTTTTCGGCGGGCCGTAGTTTGAGGACCCCTGGTCTAAAGGATCATCTCCATATGAGGGTTGACTTTGGAAAAATTGCCATGTCCAGAGGACAAGACCTTCAAGCTTCTCTTGCTCATTCCCACGGCATCTTTTTGTTCCTGAATTCTTAATGAAACTGCCACAGCGTGCAGCCATGCGGGCAGTCTGGTGCCTCCTCAGAGTTGAGCCACCTGGAACCTCTCCCACTCTCATCACATGCGTGAAGTTTATCTCCTCTGGATTCTCAGATGCTGGGCGAGGCCAGTGCTTTCGATAGAAGCTTTCCTGCATTCGTCACGGTGGCGGGGCGTTTCAGGGGAGAAACAAATTAGGTTTTCCCACACTTACTACAGTGACAGTTCTCCCAACTTGGGTTCTCTCGTGTCCTGAAAGGTGGGAGTGCTGAATATAGGCTTTCCCACAGTGTAGTTCCCCGTGTTTGCTAAGATTTGAATTCCAGGTGAGATTTTCCCAACATTTGTCACCTGTTTGTTTGAGGCATCTGCACAGTTGCCTTCCTCGTCTGTCCCCAGTGAGTCATGTGCAGGTCTCACCTCAGAGGTGGTGACTGGGCTGTCACCACAGCCCTGAGTGCCCAGAAGGTCCTGAGCTTGGCTTGATGCTGTTGTCCCAGCCTGGAAATTCTCCATTCTATCTTCTTCTTGTTTCTATTAATGGTCACCCAAGGATATCTTTCCCCACAGGTTTTTAGAGAGTGGAAGGGAAGGCGGGGGAGGGGGGAGAAAGAGAGAGAGAGGCATCGAGAAGCATCCATGTGAGAGAGAAACATCAATTGGTTGCTTCCCGCACACGCCCGGACTGACTGGACTGGGGATTGAACCTGCAACCCAGGTACATGCCCTTGACTGGGACTCAAACCTGAGACCGATGCTCCGGCTGACTCTGTGACCACTGAGAAGCACCAGCTAGGACTCCTGATTTTATCTTTAAACTTGTGCTTTGTGAGTGAATTAAATAGGAGAATGGGCCATGTACCTGAGCTGAGAACATATCTGTGTTTCTTTGCCCCCCTGTTGTATTGAGCATTTGTGTTCCCCATGAGCACAGATTTCAGTGGGCCCATGAGTCTTGGGAGTTCACTGAGGCTCAGAATATGAAGGGGAGCAGAGTAGGCCACCCCAAAAGGGGCCACTTTGGCATGTGAATTATTTTGAGCTGAAGGAAATTGAGACCCAGCAGACTCAGGAAAAAGTTTAACCTCTCCCTTAACTATCCAAAATTTTTATTGTGGGCCTGTCCTAGAAAGAGAGCTATGAAGAGAGTTAACTTTTACCTGAGTGACCTTTATGTAGGACAGGGCAACCCTCAGAACCAAACATCTGCCCTTATCTTCCTGCGAATCACCTTCCCCTGGAGCACCAGGCCCCATCCGCCCTCCCATTCCTCAGCTCAGGATGACAGACAAGCCTCGACTGCCTTTGGGTCTTATCTTTTTTGGTGCTTTTGTATGTACAAAATTAAAATTGTTTTTCTCCTGTCAATCTGTCTTCTGTGAATTTGATTATTAGGCTAAAGAACCCAGAAGGGAAGAAGGAAATTTTCCCACTTCTACACACACATGGTAAGTGTGTTATGTCTGCATCTGAGTCACTCGTGGGCCGATAGCCAGGTGAGTCTGTACTCTCTGCTGCAACCAGGACTTGCTTCTAAGTCAGAAGGTTGGCAAATGGAAGCATCTAAGAAACAGGAACAACCAGGGAACCCTACAATATTCTTTCTTATTTGTGTTACTTCCCTGTATTAGGCAACCACTTACTGAAAATGACAACACAGAAGGAAAGGGAAGGAGAGCAGCCCCCTATCCCCTTTCCTGTCAGTCTTTGCCCATCAGGTAGAATGTGTGTCTGTCAAGAGTGAGGGTTCACCCTAGCCTGTTTGGCTCAGTAGATAGAGCGTCAGCCTGCAGAGCACATGCCTTGGTTGCAGGCTCAGTCCCCCGTGGGGGGGGGGGGGAGGGGTATGCAGGAGGCAGCCAATCAATGATTCTTGTCATTGAAATTTCTATCTTTCCTCCCTTCCTCTCAAATAAAAATATATATTTTTTAAAAAGAGCGAGTTAGGGCTCAATTTCTACAGCATGTCCACTCAGTTTATGGGGCAAGCAAAAGTAGTTTTACAGTTCTAATACAAATAATACAATAATTAATACAAGAATGTGCACAACTGTAAACCTACTTTTGCCTACCTCGGTTTGGGAGCCTCGATATAAATTGTCCATAATTTTGGTGTTTCCACATACAAGTTAAATGTGTTTGTATTTGCATTTAAATTGGCATTGCAAAATATAAAGGTGAACAGGAAAACTCATAGTGATCATTTAAATTTTTCTTTACTTCAAATGACATTAAATAACAAAAACATCACGAATCAAGAGACAGTATGTGGGGTGGGAGGATAAAAACGGTTTTATGGCCTAATACCTTTAACATGATGTTTTCCTGCTTTTTAAACAAGGGGACCCACTTTCAGCATGAAGCCTGCAAATTATGTCGCTTGCACTTGTCTATGTAGATGAATTTCCTTAAATATTTGCTTCTTTGGAACAAATTTCTTATTTTCCGTACTACTTTTGTCTCCTGAAATAAACAAACTGCAAAGATATACACAGAAGAGGCCGCAAGTCACTCAGCGCATGTCCGACCCGCCGCCCTCCCTGCGACTGGCAGCGTGGCAGCCGGAGGCACGTGGAGCGGCGGGGACCAGGGCCAATAGGGAGGTGAGGGGCAGGACCAAGCGGGTTCGCAGGTCCACTTCTGCCGGGTCCCAATTTAGGTGAGCACTTCTTGGGGACCGGTTTCATGAGTGCATTTTCTCCGGACCGAATATACATGAGCACTTCCCCCTGTACTAAATTCTTGGGTACACTTCCTCCGAGCCCAATATACGTGAGCACTTCCCCCCCGGACTGAATTCTTGGGTTCACTTCTCCCGGACCCAGTTTACGTGAACACTTCCGCTAGACCGGATTCTTGGATGCACTTCCTCCGAACCCAATATACGTGAACACTTCCGCCGGTGCGGAATCTTGCGTGCACTTCCGCCGGACCGGATTCTTAGGTGCACTTCCGCTGGACCTAGTTTACGTGAGCACTTCCGCCGGACCGTATTCTTGGGTGCACTTCCACTGGACCTGATTTTTTTTTAAAATATATTTTATTGATTTTTTACAGAGAGGAAGGGAGAGAGATAGTCACGCCCCCTACTGGGGATGTGCCTACTGGGGATGTGCCCGCAACCCAGGTACATACCCTTGACTGGAATCGAACCTGGGACCTTTCAGTACGCAGGCCTCCACTGAGCCAAACCGGTTTTGGCCCACCGGACCGGATTTTTGTGCGCACTTCCGCCGGACCCAATGTATGTGAGCACTTTCCAATGTATGTGAGCACTTCCGTCGGACCGGATTTTTTTTTTTTTTTTTTAGTATATTGATTTTTTACAGAGAGGAAGGGAGAGAGAGAGTTAGAAACATCGATGAGAGAAACATCGATCAGCTGCCTCCTGCACGCCCCCTACTGGATGTGCCCGCAACCCAGGTACATACCGTTGACCGGAATCGAACCTGGGACCTTTCAGTCCGCAGGCCGACGCTCTAGCCACTGAGCCAAAGAGGTTTTGGCCCGCCGGGCCGGATTTTTGTGTGCACTTCCGCCGGACCGAATTCGTTGGTGCACTTCCTTCGGACTGAGTTTACGTGAACACTTCCGGCGGACCGGATTCTTGAGTGCACTTCCGGCGGACTGGATTCTTGGATACACTTCCGCCGGACTGAGTTTACGTGAACACTTCCGCCGGACGGCATTCTTGGGTTCACTTCCTCCGGACTGAGTTTATGTGAACACTTCCGCCGGAAGGCATTCTTGGGTGCACTTCCGCCGGACCTAGTTTATGTAACACTTAGCCGGACTCTATTTACGTGAACACTTCCGTCGTGCCAGATTCTTTGGATGCACTTCCGCCGGACCCAAAGTACGTGAAAACTTCCTCCGGACCGGATTCTTGAATGTATTTCCTTCACACGGGGTTTATAAGAGCACTTCCTTGGGATTGGGATAGTCAGTGCAGTTTTTCCAGGTTAGGTTTAGGTTATGCTTTTGGGGGGCGGGTTTCAGGGGTTGCATTTCAGTTGGGCTGGTTGGCATTCGCAGTTCCTCCTCATTGGGTTCGCTGGCGCACTTTCTCGCGGGGCTGGCGTGGGGAGGGGCTGGTTAGTGTCCATCCCTCGCCTCAGTCGCACGGAAGAGCGGGGCGCCGTGTCCCGGGACTCCAGTTCGTGGGATGTGGGTGTCCCCTCCTTGTTCAGTCCGCGCTGTATGCGCCGCGCCAACTCCCGCACACCGCGGTCTGTCAGGTTCGTGTAGCTTACAGGACACAGACGGCCAAGTCTTCCTGAATCCGGGACTACTGGTGGTTCTGTTCGATGATGTGCCAGTTCGGTTTGCATTCCGGGTAAATGGGGAAGGTGTTATAGTCTGACTGGTTAACTCACTATGTTTTATTATTTGGAAGATATAAACTAGTGGAAGGCAACATTTAGAAGCGGCTTCATGTTGTTTATCTTCACTTATTCCTCTAGGATCACACGTGAGCTGGGGCCCGTCCTCCGCGTGGAGCACTTGGTCCCCCGCTGTCCTCTGTTGCCAAGTGGCCACAACCGTTTGTCCTTTGGTCTGCAGAGATAAGCTTTTAGATAAACTTTTTATCTATCACTCTTTGTATTTGGAGCTGAGCATGAACTCACTACCATCCGACTAGAAGGACACTATTTTCCCAATCTTTTTTTAGTAGTTAGAAATTGAGTTTATGTTCTGTGCTTTTTTGTAATAATGCATACATCTGCTTCTCATGCTGATGGGGGTTTAGTTCTGTTTGCGATGCTCTTTGGATCCTATCTACAGGAGTCATTTGTTATTTGCTCATGGCTCTAAAAGACTAGTTCTTGCATACATGTGTATCTTTGTGTAATTTGCTTTAATTTTCTGCACTCGGACATATGTAAGGTAGCTAAAACATAAATTGAAGTTTAAAGTGCCCTGAAGCCTTATACAACCAGTAAGCATGAGGATTTTTAACCAGTGTGGCAAGCTGGTTTGGTGAGGAAATTATTGCAGGGCCTGTCCCTGAAGGAGCCCCAAGGAAAGCTCATCTCCTCTTTTTCTTTTGTTTTGTTTTGTTAATCCCCACCGGAGGATATTTTTCCATTGATTTTTGAGAGAGTAGAAGGGGGCTATATAGAGAGAAACATTGACGTGAGAGACACACCGATTGGTTGCCTCCAGAATGTACCTACAACCCAGGTATGTGCCCTTGACCAGGAATTGAACCCAAGACCCTTTGGTGAGTGGCCCAATGCTCTAACCACTGAGTACACCGACAGAGCAAGCTCATCTCCTTTTGACAACGTTCCTTCTTGGCCTGGTCTTGGGTCTCTGCCCTTTACGGATAGCAGCCCAAGACCCTGGTGGCCTGTGATTGTGTCTTTCATGACACTCTCCAGTTTGAGTCCCTGACTCCTATGCCTAGGTAAGTTCTGACTCTGATGTGCCCTCATTCTTCAGTCATCCCCCTGGTTGTCTTTTCCTTTTTTCTTTTCTTTTAATGTCTCTAATTGACACAAAGCATACCACTTTTCCCTGTATTATCCCTACATGGTTACAAATTCTGCCCTTCACTCTTGGTCTTAAAATGAGATTCCTTCAGGGGACATATCCTTGAGTGGGGCAATTTCACTTTTTTTCAGAAACTACTAACCATTGAGGAAGTGACCACATGTCCTACCCTAGAGTGTTGGGACTCTGCCCAGAGGACCCTCTAGGAAACACAGGCATAGGAATTCTGTGGTCAGGACAGATGGGAGTGTCAGGTCTGATGAAGGATCTGCTCTGGGAAGTCGTCAGTAAACCATAGTGTAGCTTCAGGCTTGACAGATTCCCAGTGTCACCTTTGCAAGAATAGTGATGTCCGTCTGTCCCCATGAGGTACCAGCTGTTTTATGTTTCAAGCTTGGTCCTTACACTGTCATTTCCCTCTTCCTATAGTTCTGTTCTTCATTCCTCTCCATTCAATGTCTGGCCTTCCTGATGAGCCTATTCTCAGGTCTTTATTCTATTCGTGGCTACGCTTGTTCTTCAGGTCACTCTTGTTCCTGACTTTTATCCACCCTTCTCTGGAATCACACCACCCAGTCCTGTCATTTGCCATCTTCTAATTTTCTCTTCAAACATTGTCAAACCATTTTGTTGGTATATGTAAGCCGTGTATTTCTAGTATGTGTATCCATATTTATATCTATATCTATATCTATATCTATATATAATCTATATGTATAAAAGGCTAATATGCAAAGTGTCCCCTTGGGAGTTCGATCGGGAGAACCAGAGTTGGACTGCTGCTTGTGACGTATACTCACCTCCAGGGGGTGGCACGGAACATGGCAGGCGACCAGCTGCAGCAGCGTGGCGCTGAGGGAGCAAGGCAAGGAGTAGGCAGGCAGGTGGGGAGGCAGGGGAACCTGATTGGCCCTGGTCACTGGTCAGGCCTAGGGACCCTACCCATGCACGGGCCTCTAGTTATACTATAATGTAATGTTGTATAAGGTAACATAATAGTATAATAATGTTCCTGTATATTTCAGTTACATTCGAATGCTATACTTTTTATATCGGATGATGGGATCAGAAATAAGAAAGGAGAATTGATACCCAAAGCAATCTATAAATTCAACGCACTTTCCATTAAAATACCAACGGCATACTTCACAGATCTAGAACGAACTCTCCAAATATTCATCTGGAATAAAAAAAGACCCCGAATAGCTGGAGCGATCCTGAGAAAGAACAAAGTAGGTGGGATCTCAATACCAGATATCAAGCTGTATTACAAAGCCACTGTTCTCAAAACTGCCTGGTACTGGCAGAAGAACAGACATATAGATCAATGGAATAGAATAGAGAGCCCAGAAATCAGCCCCAACCAATACGCTCAATTAATATTTGACAAAGGAGGCAAGAACATACAATGGAGTCAAGACAGTCTCTTCAATAAATGGTGCTGGGAAAATTGGACAGATACATGCAAGAAAATGAAACTAGACCACCAACTTACACCATACACAAAAATAAACTCAAAATGGATAAAGGACTTAAATATACGACCGGAAACCATAAAAATACTAGAAGAATCCAAAGGCAACAAAATCTCAGACATATGCCAAAGCAATTTCTTCACCGATACAGCTCCTAGGGCATTGGAAACTAAAGAGAAAATAAACAAATGGGACTACATCAAAATAAAAAGCTTCTGCACAGCAAAAGAAACCATCAACAAAACAACAAGAAAGCCCACTACATGGGAGAACATATTTGCCAACATTATATCTGATAAGGGCCTAATCTCCAACATTTATAGGGAACTCATACAACTTAACAAAAGGAAGATAAACAATCCAATCAAAAAATGGGCAAAGGACCTAAATAGACACCTTTTAAAAGAGGACATTCAGAAAGCCAAGAGACATATGAAAACATGCTCAAAGTCGCTAATCATCCGAGAGATGCAAATCAAAACAACAATGAGGTACCATCTCACACCTGTCAGAATGGCTATCATCAACAAATCAACAAACGACAAGTGCTGGAGAGGATGTGGAGAAAAAGGAACACTTGTGCACTGCTGGTGGGAATGCAGACTGGTGCAGCCACTATGGAAGACAGTATGGAGTTTCCTCAAAAAACTGGAAATGGAACTCCCATTTGACCCTGTGATCCCACTTCTAGGAATATATCCCAAGAAACCAAAAACACCAATCAGAAAGGATATATGCACCCCTATGTTCATAGCAGCACAATTCACCATAGCTAAGATTTGGAAACAGCCTAAGTGCCCATCAGTAGATAAAATACCACATGATCTCATTTATGGATAATAAAGGCCATTATAAACATATGAACAAAAATAGATACAGAGGCAGAGCTGCCTCGAACAAACTGTCCAACTACAGCAGGAAGGTCGGGGAGGGTTGGGGGGCAGGAGGGTGGGGTAAGAGATCAACCGAAGGACTTGTATGCATGCATATAAGCATAACCAATGGACATAAGACACTGGGGGGTAGGGGAGGCCAGGGGATTGTCAAGGGCGGGGGGAAAAAGGAGACATATGTAATACTTTAAGCAATAAAACAATAAAAAAAAAGAAAGGAGAATTGATTCAAAAGCAAGATCTTACTGTAGATATGGAATCCCAAGAAAAGTTATCTGGCCCAACCAACGGAGAGGGTCCTGAATGTGGAGACACCCAAGAACCAGAAGGATGGACAGAAAGACATCAGAGAAGCACTTCAAGTGAGAGAAGGTATAAGTGTGATGAACGTGAGAAAAGATTCACTCGGAACTCAAGCCTCATTAGACAAAAGAGAATTCACACTGGAGAGAGACACTGTTCATGTAATGTCTGTGGCAATTTTAATGCAGAAGCTCACAACATATTGACTGTCAGAGAATACATAGCCTGTTTTATAGGTTAAAACTGTATCAGTGTGAGGAGTGCAGAAAGCCTTTATCACAATTCACACCTTGTTCAGCATCCATGGACCTGCACTGGTGAAATGCCTTTCCAGAATGGTGAGTGTGGCAAAGCTTTTAATAACAGCTCAGCCTCATCTGACACCAGAGAACCTGCACAGGGAACAAGGCACACCAGAGCATAGACTGGGGGAAATGCTTCAGTCTGAGCTCAGGCCCTATGAGTGTGAGGAGGGTGGGAAGACCTTCAGTTACAGCTCACATCTGGGACCCAGAAGAATCCACATGGGAGAGGAGCCCTGGTGACACACGTGTGCGGAGCTACTCCTGGCACTCGTTCCCGAGGACACCAAGATGCACGCTGGAGATGGTGTTGCCTTAACAGTTCTGGGCTCTCCACTCCCTGCCACTCATTCCAGAGTCACGTGAACACAGCTTCCAAGCAGCATGGGATGCTCTGCCCACTGAACACATCACCTGCTGAGCTGGGGTGCTGGATGGGCCCATTCGTGTTGTCAAACTCTTCTCAGAAGTAAGTTGCTCAGGAAATCTTAGTGTTTATATTCCTCTTCCCCTTCTCTCCTCCCTATTTTCTGAATTACTTTGAAAAAAAAAAAAAGCCAACGCCTCAATATTTGGTTAACTTGATCAAATACATTAACCTATCAATTATCTACACTAAAAACATGGTGAAAGACAAAAACTATTTTGTTATACTGGAATGGATTATGCTTTGCAGGGCCTGAGTGGGTCAAGGCTGGATGGATCAATCAACCTGCTGATCCACAGGGACCTTTCACATCTTTAACCAGAGGTGGTAGACGAGCCCCACATAGTTTTTGTTTGTTAGTTTTTTGTAATTTAAAATAATAGCAACTCTTTAAGACTCTGCATATTTCACATAGAATCTGACTTTCCAGATTTTCTTATAAAAATACTGTGCACCATTTTTGTCTGTTAATATTTGTATTCTATAAGTGCCTACTTAAATCCTTAGCCAATTTTTCTCTTGGCTTGTTTATATTTTTCTTACTTTTTTGTAAGAGGTTTTTGCATATTAGGAAAATTAGCCCTGTGTCTTTTATATGTGGCATATTTTACTCTGACTGTATATTCTAACTTTTATTCTCTTCATTCAAAAATTCTAAATGTTTCAGTTACCACTTCTATTTATCTTTTCCTTTATTGCTTTTCAGTTATGTTTTTAGGCTTTTATGTCATGCTTAGAAAGGTCCTCCCCACTGCAAGGTAGCAAGAGCCTCCTAGCCTGTCTCCCCACGTTTGCTGTCACTTACAAGTTTGTTTATTTATTTTTAAGTTTTTTTATGAAGTTATTACATATGTGTCCTTACCCCACGTTACCCC